TATATATATATATGGAGAGAGAGAGAGAGACTGAAATTGATTGAAAGAATTTGGAAGTGTCCCTAATACAAATCCTGTGAGGTAGAGGGTGAGCCAAAGGTCAAGCCAAAATTAAACCCCAGTTGTCTTGGGTGGCTATCAAACCTTGTTTAAACATGGCTTTTATTTGATTTGCACAGCATATACGACAATTCTGTCCTCATCTCTCCTGCTGATTCGGTGCACTTCAACGAAGAATGATGGGTCAGATGCCCTTAGGAAGCCTTCTCAAACCTGTCCTCACCCGCCTCATCCCACTTCTGCTGCTAAGGTACCTGCCCACTGAGAGGGGTACAGTGGCCTACTTGCCACCATTCCTGCTTCCTAGTGCCCATGAGAAGCATACTCGAACAGCCAACAGGACCCACTGGTCTTGTTCAATCCTTCCAGGAAGCTGGCTCCCTTGGCCCGAAGTCCTTCTCTTTTAATTGAAATAGTGATTGAGATACTGCAGATTCCCATGCAGGTATTCAGAACAGATATCTTATGCACCCGTTTGCCAATTTTCCCCTCATGGCCAGCCACATCTGGCAAAATTAAAGTAGAACTTCCCACTCAGGATATTGATCTGAAGACAACCCACCAACATTCGGGTTTGTTTTCCTTGGGCTCACCTGTGGGGTGTTTGCGCGGCTGCACCTAGTCCTACTCACTGTACCACGTGTGGTGCCATGTGTCCACCATCAGAGCCAAGATCCTCAATCACCATGGGACCTCCAGCTGCCCTTTTAAAACCACACCTACTTCCCACCCCTGACAACTATTACTGTGTTCTCCATCTATATAATTCTGTCATGTATTGGTGGATAAATGTAATTATACGATATGTAATCTTTTGGGATGGGATTTTTCACCCCATGTAATTCCCTCAAAATTTACCCAAGTTCTTGCACACAGCCATAGTTTGTCCCGTTTCATTGCCGACAGCAATCTGTGCTGGGCCACAGATGGTTCAGTCATTCACTCAGTGAGGACATCTGTGTTGCCTCCAGTCTGGGGCTATCTCAGAGCTGCCACACACACTTGTGTCCTCCTCTTTCCTTTCTGATCACTAACGGATCCAGATGCTCCTCCTTTGCTGAGGTCTTCGCCCTGCTGTGGCAAACATGACTTGTCACCACGCCATCATTTCTACGCCAAGTCTAGAAGCTCTCGATAATCCACCCAGATACCTCAATGCAGATACTATCACTAGACAGCAGCTCAAGCAAACTAGAGCTAGTATGAGTCTGCAAACCGCACAACTGAGACTCATGCTACAGAAGCAAAACTTGAAAAAGCCACTTGATCCTCTTAATGTCTCATCAGCATCATCATAGAGAAGCTAGTACTTGTTCCTTGACCAACAGCTTACCGTAGCAGTGCAATGTAATGGTTAAAAGCAGGAACTCTGGTACCAAGCTGTCTGCATTTGATTACTGGCCCCACCACGTGTGGCTGTGTCACCTTGGGGAAGTTAGTTAACTTCTTTTCTCTCTGCCGCAGTTTTTCCATTTGCAAGTGGGCATGTTACTAGTACCTATCAATTAATAATACCTATTGTGTGAGCATTAAATCATGTCATTAACCATGTAATACATGTTCAGAGCAGAATCTGGCAGAGTGCTCATTAAACATCACTTCAAGCTGTTATGTGGGAAGTATGACTATGCACTTTACACAGATTATTTAAGCCGTGACTATGATACAAGTGTGATGAGTTTGAATTTACACATAATGAAATTGAATTTAAGAGAGTACGTCACTTGCTCATGGTCACAGGGGTGGAAAGTGAGGGGCTGACATTCCCTTACAAACCTGTCATTGCCATAAACTGGGGTCGCGTTGCCCTGTCTCCCAGAGCAGCTGTGAGGATGACAGGAAAGGGTGCATTCTGAGGCATTTAGTATTCAAACTGCTCCATACATAGTAGTTCCTCTTTTAGCTACTGGTAATTGATGAAAAGTAGATGACTCTGTAGTTTTATACAGCAGAAATTGGCCCCTTACGATACAGAGCACCAAACAGAAGCAGCAATGTGAGGTACTGATGGATGCATCTGCGAACATTTGTTGTGCTGACCCAACTACAATCACACCAGCTCTGGGACAGGCCCTGCCCTCAGCCACAACTCACTGCAACACAGGCTGGCTCACCGTCTTTCCTTACAGAGTACACACTCAGCTGCGACACACAGAACATTCAGCCAGAGGCCCCAGTGTGAACTCCTCTCCGCGGACAGGAACCTCAGCTTCTGCATTTTGTTCCTCCAGTGCCTGGGAGGTTGTAGCCGCTCCATAAATATGCAGGCCTAGGGGTGATTTTCATGTAATGAAGAGGTCCAGACGGGAATCACAAAACCTGACCCTGAGAGCAGCTGTGTGACCTCAGGAGTCACTTCCTGTGGAACCAAGTCTTGCAACCACACGCACTAGAGAGTGCCTTACAGCTGTGTTCACTGGTGGAGAGCACCAAGCCGTCCTTTTTCTTCTTCATTTACTCCTTTACTTCCTTCCTTCCTCTCGGCTACCCTTCTTTTTCTTCTTTCTTTTTCTTTCAGCCGGCCAACAAGTATTCCCCACCATGTGCCAGACATTAGGCCAGAGGCTGGGAACTCAATGGTGAGCAAGAGAAGTGGAGAGGAAAGGTCCTTAAGTGTGTGCTGATTTACTGAACGCTACACATGCATAAGAACATTACCTTCTTATCTGAAACTCTTGTTTCAGCAAACAAGCTGACCTTGGCAGTCTGAATTACCCTCAGTGACAAGTGGGACAGGTAAAGGAAGATCCAGTTGTACTAAACACTCCAGCCCTTCAAATCTGACCATAAACAGCTCCATTATTATGTGAACAATTCAGATTTAAACAGGTTCGATGAGATTAGCTGGCAGAAGCTCTGTGACGAACCAGGTTTATTTCAGTTTATAAATGTGCTTTAAAAGAGTCAACTATATTGCACTCACAGTCAGCTAGGAAAATGACTTGCACTTCTGAAACAGTTTAAAGGCACAGCAACGGCCAGTGTACAGAAAAAGACAAACGTGGGGCTGACCAGTAGAAACAGACGATGGTGCCTTTAATGTACAAAGGTGGACCGGTCAGAAATGTAAACGGTGGGAAAGGGTAACACTCATTTGTTAGGGTGAAGTGATCACAGGAGATTGCCTGTGCTTTGACATCAACGGAAAGTGAGCTGAGTGCATTTGGAATTCTTTTTAAAATGTCCTGATGGACTGAGTAGGGGAAGGAAAAGTTAGGCATGAGGCACTTTGGGATTGGGCCAGACAATCTGATGACGGGCAAGGCTGGGGCCTCAAGGAGAACATGGAGAAGTGATGGCACTGATGTTGAGCAGCATTAGGATGTAGGTGGAAAGTCACTCCAGTGGGAGTTTTCCAAACTCCTGCGAACGCACCAGAGGGCTTGATGATGTATTAACTAAGGGGCCTGCTCCTCTTAGAACTTCATTTCTCAGCGCTTCATTTTTAAGCCTTTCATGAAAATGCAAAGCATGTTATATTAAAATACAATAAAAGATTTTAACCCTTGATATTTGTGAAACATCACACTTAAATGCGTACAATTACATTTTATTTTAAGGAATTTAGAAGGTAAGAGGCAGAGCTCACAAAAGTTTCCTCCATTACTAAAAACCGCAAAGTTGGAAAACTTCCTTAAAAAGGTGGATACCAAAATAGCTTTTCATGTTTGAAAAGAACAAAAAAACTTAAGATCTGGAGGACAAAAGTGGTATTCAAAAGCATGCTAAATAATACATTAAAACAAAAAAGAACAAGAAAAAAATGTATTCCAGATTAAATCCTGTTAGAAATAACATCATGTGTATGAGTGTATGACTGACTTCAACAATAAACAACAAAAGCCCACTAACAAAGGGCTTCAGCACTCCCCTGGAGTTCACTATTAAAGAATTTATCCTGCATAAAGATTTTGCAAAAAATGGTAACAAAAAATAACCCAAAGACACGTGGAGTATCTGCAAACACAAAACTAGTTCTCTAAATTGAACTTATTGGCCTTGAATCCACTTGAGTAAAAGCTGACTACAACTGAAGCTTGTTATCTGGGGTGGGAGAGTTATTTGAAGCCAAAGGTACTTTGCTTTATAGGTCACGTGGCTGTAAGTATAATATTCTAGAAAATTCTCCTTAATGCCAAAGATCTACTGAGAATTTAAGACAGGATTAAATTTCCCAAGCACTTCCAAGAATTTACATAGTAAAGGGTAATCATTTCAGAATTTACATATACCTAGTTTACTTAAAGCCACAGACTTTATTCTAGAAAGGAGAAAATACATGACATTAATAAACCAAGCATGCTGTGAATTCTAGAACAACGAATTCAATTATTTTTCACTTACTTAACAACCAATTTTATCCATCAGCTGTAAATTATATCCATAACAAAATTATTAGTGTTTTGCAACATATCAAAGACAAGTATGTTTGCTTGAGTGCCCCACTAGTCTTTGTGTAAAGCTATTATTCTTGGACTTTCTCCAAATATTGATTTTTAAATAATTTATTAATTATAACAACTGTAAAGAGTAATACAAGGACCTGAATCCTTCAGCCAAATGAAGAAATAAACTTATACTTTAAACTTGTTCTCCTGCCTGACATTTTATGTGGCCATTTCTTGACTACCATAAATCCCAGGTGAAAATCTTGTGTTCTTCAATGTTCTGACAAAGGCTTCTGGACTTGTAGTTCATGTGTAGGTGATTCAGTCCTGTTCTCAATGAGAGAGATCTCCAACACGGGTAAGAGTAGCTGAAAGGCATCCTGGATATAGGAAGCACTGTTTGATGCCTGTGAAAAAACAAGGAAAAAATCACTATCCCTAGAAAGAAAATACACTAGAAGACAACAAAAGAATTGATTAATATTTGAAATCTAACTAAATCTATAGCTTGCCAAATAAAAACACAGGCCTGCCTAATGCAGTAACCTTTATTATAGGGAAGAGAAAGGTCTAGCTCTTAAGATGACATAACAGCATCTGTTAGCATTTCTTCCTAACTTGCCCATCAGAAATGTTAGCTGTTCCCTGGCATTCTGCTCAAACTCGCATTCAAAGCTTATTTATTCCTTGACTGAGTGCATAGATTCTGTCACAGAACTGTAGCCAATTACTGAAAAGGCTTCAGAAAGCTGTGAGTCCTACACCCATAGGATTTCCAGCCTACTATAACGGCTCTTCTTCCATGAACTCAGGGCGATCAGTGAACACAAGATAGCTGCTTACAAACATTAACAAAGAGCACTGCTTTCAAAGATGAAACAGTATAGATACACTTGTGTCAGGTACACCAGATGTATTTATGAGAAGTGTTACAGACTCATTATGCCCAGCGTTTGTCAGACTTCATTTATATCTGACAGTCTCTCACCTTCGAGGATAACAACACTTCATTAAGATGAAAATGTATAATCCCAAGGACAAGAATGTTTCATATCTGTAAGCAAGAATAATCAACTAAAAATAATAGGAAACTCGTATCAAGTGAAATTATCTTTTCTGGATTTATCAGTGGCTAGTACTGTTATTTAAAATTCAGTATGGCATTTGATAACTCATATTCCAGCCAAAAGACACCTCAGAGATCGTACAGCTAAATCTCTTATTTGTGCTTGAAAATAAAATTACCAGTAAGGGCAAATTCCTGACCTAGAGTAGTACAGTAATAAGGGGAGGGGCTCAGAACAGGACTGGGCCCTTTCTTTGCAAAGTTCTTTCAAGTATGCTACTTGCCACCTGCTAAATCACCAGCTTGTAGTTTTAAAAAAATTATCTGATTCAGTGTTTCGTTTTATTTTGTTTTGTGACAGGGTCTCGCTCTGCAGTTCAGGCTGGCCTTAAACTCACTATGTAACCCAGGTTGTCCTCAAACTTGCAGTCATCCTCCTGCCTCAGCTTCCTGAATGCTGGGATTACACACATATTCCGCCACACCCGGCCCCTTAATCATAATTTGAAAATAATATAAAACTAGAAAAGCAATAGTCCAGCAGTTAAAATTTTTTTCAATTCATATTTAAAACCTAATCAATATATCTTATCTCTCTAGACTAACATCAGTATGTTGTAAACATATCATTACAGTCTATGTTGTCTACACAATTCATCTACAAGTAAAGTTCTTAAATCACGGAATCCAGAAACCATCATGTAGGCAATTAATATAACCCATCATGAGATCTTTCCCAGACATTTATCCCATTCCTTAAATCTAACAGAATGAGGAGAATTATGTACACACAGGTACGTCTTTGACAAGATGTATAAAAAGGTATAGTCTCATGGACAAGAGTGTCTCAAAAAGTAAGCCTTTTGGCAAGGAAATGACAAAAAGTGTTTTGTTTTCTAACACCTCACTACATAAACCTTAGTCCTTTAGGAAGCAGTGCTTGGCTCTTTGTAATTTTCACCCCTTCATGCTTACCAGCTTGTCTCTAGAAAGTTTCATTACTGAGACGTGTCCCTTAAGTTGCCAAGGCGTAGGGACTAACTAATGCCAGCGGAGGGCAGTGGTAGCAGACCTATGGCACGCACGCCACAATGGGTTGTTTGTATCACTGAATCCTCTAAACGGTTCACCATCACTGGTCTAGTGCTTCTTGAAATTCATTGTACCCACAGTTTCAACTGCATGCCTTGAAATTCATCAACAGAGAACATACATCAAATATATACTATTTTGGCCATATCTGTACCAGCATGGCTAAACTACTCATTTGGGAGGTAAGGAGTCAAAAATTAAAGATTTAAGAGTTAATTAAAAGCGTCAAAGACTTAAAAACAACTACTAACCTCTAGAAATACTGCAGTGATTAATGGGTTAAGGGCATCTGCCTTTTCTTTGACCTAGAATAAAGGAAACAGTGTTGTGTCAACAGAGCATTTTGAAAAACAATCAGTACAATATAATCAGACTTTGAAACACACAGAGCAAAATGTCTTCCTGGGAATATGAAAAAATTTTTAGACCTTTCTGTGTATCCAAACTGAGATAAACTGAGTGTTTTATAGTTTTTCATAAACTTTTTAAAATATCATCATTTTGGAAAAGAGGGTAGAAGAGGTATATTTCACCACAAACTTTCTAAAAACTTTAAAACAAAACACATAGATATGGAACATGTGTTCAAAAAAATCTCAATGGTTTTTAAGATAGGCTATCTGGAAAAGTCTCACTTCATGCAAAGAAATAGTGCAAATTTAATCTTCCCACGTGTCAGCACTTTATACTTGACTCGCCAGCTAAAGTATCTTTATAGGACACATTAAAAGATTGTGCCTCATAAGATGAATTTCAGGAAACCCAGGGGTTCTTTTAAAGAAAATACTAGGAGGGAAAGAGAAGCCATATCATAGGATTATCCCATACAGGAATAATCTAAATTCAAATTTAAAACATTCAATTTGGGCAATGGTCTCAAAACAAATTTAGGACCCCACAGTAATTTTGCTGCCATACTTACACCAATAAATGTATTATACAGTTATTTTCATTTGCTTTGATTTACCCTAATTCATTGACTTTTCAATCATCTTATAAATTCACACCTTCAGTACATGTTTATAATTCCAATTTTTAAAAAAAAACCTTAAAGCTTTAATTACAGCTCTCTCATTGGCTGATAACTATACAAAATTAACATCAACAGTGTCTAAGAAGCTACTTTTTAAAAAGCGTAGTCAAAATTTGTTTTTTTTTCTTTTATTAAGACCTATCTTCCCATTATAGGTCTTACAAAGAGGAATACTGAAGACTTCATAAAAACAGAGAATAAAACAGTATTATGAACTCACATTTTTTGATTCAAAACTTACTACAAAGCTACCATAGTTAATATAATATGGTGCTTATATAACGGTACTTGAATATAGGTCAAGAGAATATCAATGAGAGGCCAAAAATAAACCATGTAATAATGGTCAATTCATTTTTGACAAAGGGGCTAAAACAACTCAACAGAGGAAAGAACAGTGTTTTTAACAAAAAGTGCTGGAACAAGGAGATATCTACAAGCAAAGAAATAAAGAAGGATCTCTACATATCCCATCACAGACAAAAATTAACTCAAAATGGATCACAGACATAAAAGCTAACATGAAACTCTTAAAACACAGAAGTAAATCTTTATGATCATAGTTAGACAATGATTTCTTAGATACAGTACCAAACATAAGTAATAAAAGAGAAAACTGATAAGCTGAATTTTGTCAAAATTTTAAAATATTTGTGTAAAGGACACATAAAAACATTGAAACTAGCCATGACTAGGAGAACTTATGCGCACATCATATATAGTAGTACCTCGGTTCATGAACTTAATTCTACACATATATGCACTGTGCTTGCAGGGTGCAACCAGAATCATGGAACAAATTCTGTGACCAGAATAGAAAAAATTAAGTTCATAAACCAGGGTACCACTCTATCTGATAAGAAGCTTTTATTCAGAAAACATAAAGAACTCCTACAATTTAATGATAAAGGGCCAGACATCCCAATTTTTAAAATGGGCTAGCTGGACATGGCATGTGCCAGGAGTCCCAGCTACTTGGGTGGCTGAGAAAAGAGGAGAGTTTGAGCCCAGGAGTTCAGGGCAGCCTGAGCCATCACACTGACAATTCTAAAAAGAAAAAAGGGGCAAAGGACTTGAACAGGCATTCCTCCTGCACACAGTACCAGTAAGTACATGAAAATATGTTCAACATCACTAGGCATTAAAAAAACACAAACCAAAGCCACAATGACATACCACTTTTTATATGATAAAACGGCTAAAATTAAAAACACAGACAATAAAAAGGGTTGATGAGGGTGTGGAGAAACTGGAACCTTCATACACTACTAGTGAGAATATAAAATTGAGCAGCCACTTAGGAAAGCAATTTGGCAGTAACTCAATGAAGGCTATCACCTATACACCCCAGCTATTTCACTCTTACCTGTCAGGAAAAATGGATATTTACACAAAAGCTCATACAGTGGTACCTAAGTTCATGAACTGAATTTGTTCTACAATTTTGGAAAAGGTGGCCACATTTGTGTTTGTGTGGAAAAAATGGCCATGGTCCTGTCTGTCACTGAATGCAGAGTTTACAAACAAAAACATAACTTTGCTAAATGCTTCTGTTTGTGAACCAAATTATTTGCAAACAAAAGTGCTCATGAACTGAAATACTACTGTATATGCATGTTCATAACATTATTCATTTTAGTTAAAGAGCAGAAATAATCTGTCTATCAACTGAAGGACAGATAAATAAAATGAACCATACAGCCATAAAATGGAGTACTAGTCAGTAACAAAATGGAGTACTAATACATGGTAAAACATGAGTGAATCTCAAAAACATAATGCTAAATGAAATATATAGGGCCAAGGTAATAGCTCAGCAGCCCAGCACCTGCGTGGCAAGTACAAGGTCCTAAGTTCGATTCCTGGTACCATAAATGAATGAATGAATGAATGAATGAAATATATCATCACGTTAACCCCCTCCCTCATGTGAAACTAGCAAAGTGGGTAAGGTGGGTGGAAGGGGTGGCACGAGGGGGTTAATGATCAAAGTACATTATATGCATGTAAAAACCTGTATATCCAATGAAAAAGAATGAAAAAACCCATCATGCTAAGTGAATGAAACCTGACACAAAATGCAACATATTCTATGATCTCATTTATATGAAATGTCCAGAAGAGACATTTCATTAAATAAAAAAGTCGTTCTTTCCTAGGATTGGGCCTACAGTGAAGGAACTAGAGAGTGACTGCTCCTGTATGAGGAGATGATGAAAACATACTTGCCCGCAGACATATTAAATACGCTATCACTGAGCTGTACACTTCAACCAGGTGACTTTTACAGTACATGAACTGTAAATGAATAAAGCTGTTTTAAAAGCCAAAACAGACACTGGCCCATGAGAAGCACGATTCTTACCCCAGCAGTGGTCAGGGAGGTGGTGAACTCTTTAGATAGAGAGGACAGCTCTTTACACAACACAACTGTCACCCTAGAAAAGAGGGGAAAAGTCAAAAGGGTTCTTTTTTCCTTTTTCTCTTTCTTTTTAAAAAATAAGCCACACTTAACAACTGTCAAAGGAAAACACATCACTTCTGGTAATAAGCATAAAAGAAGAAAGCTTTCAAAGGTATGAATACGTCCACATCAGCAAGCTGATGTGTTTAGGGATCATCTGAGCAGGCATTCACGCCACAGGAGGAGGTTCACGCCCCAGGAAAACATTTTTTCTAAATAATTTTAAGAATAAAATAAAGGTGAGATGGTGGGAAACAAAGAGGCAGACTTTGGAGATGGGGCAGGGAGCCTGAGGAGTGGGGCACGGGGTGGGGCAGGATCAAAAGTGATCAAGATACTTGATCAGTTCTCCCAAAACAAATGTAATTATGTATCACAAACACACACTGATAAAAGGAAAGCATCTTCCTACAAAATCCTCTAGGAAGTATTATCCTTTTAAGTTAAACCAAAGGATTTAATAAAAATGCATTTTAAGGACATAGCATTTAAAAACCCAACATTCCATTTGGAAATATAGTTAAAATAAATACATGTTCATTTGCTCATTCACTCAGCAAATACTTAAGGGAAATCTTCCATGTGCCAGGCACTGTGCTGAGCACTGGGAATATATAAACAAGCGAAGTCCCTCTTTTCAGGAATTCTAAGTTAAATACTAAGGGGGCACTGCATACAAGTACTACATACACACACACACACACGCGCGAGCATGCATACACGTACACATATAATCATATACATTTATATGTAACTGTGTGTGGGAGTGCGTTAGGTAGTGATAAGAGCTTAGAAGATACAGAAGAATAAAGGAAGAACTGATGATGGGAGGTGCTTCTTAGAGGACCTGATGAAGGAAGGTGGCACTTGAGTGAAGACCTGAATTCAGTAAGAGAATGAGATAGCCTGGGGGAGCACTCCAAGTGGAGGCAACAGCTACTTAGCCACAGGACAGGCTGCTCTGGGGTGTGTCTCTCATCCTTAACCCTTAAGACAACACCGCGCCCCCCTGTGGGGTGCTGCAGAGGGGTGACGATGCCAGGCTGAGGAGGAGCTGGAGGACATCAATGGCTCCTCCCGATTCTAATACCAGACGCTCTTTTTTCCCAAGAAAAATTCTCTCTTAAATCAGGAGGTCTATTTAGAAACTACTGGGCTTTCCCTCTCTCCTGTGATTACTTACATTCTACTGTTTTTGAATGTTTTTGCTAAAAATCAGCCATATTGTCAGAAAAAAAGAATGGCTGCGTGGCTCATATCTGTCTCTAAGTCTTGGAGAGACCACTTAACTCTTCTGAGTCTGTTTCCTATCTTTTAAATATGAACTAATCACAGTTGGGTTTGTAAAATTTAGACGACCACATGAAAATTATTTACCATGATCTTTGGCAAATAATTACCATTTAGTAAACTAGTAATTATTATTAAGAAATGAGATTTTTAGAACTATTTTCTGTTTACTTAGGCCAAATTCCATTCCTATTTAAACTAACAATCTGGACAGGCATGGTGGTGCACACTTGTAATCCTAGCACTCAGGAGGCTGAAGCAGGAAGATTGCTGAGAGTTTGAGGCCACCCTGGGCTACAAAGTGAGTTCAAGGCCAACCTGAACTGCACAATGAAATCTTGTCTAAAAAGCCCCAAAAGACTAACAATCTGTTAAGAAATGGTTTTCAGAGCATGAATCAGTTACTAAAAAAAGCCAAGTTTACAATGTCGACTTACAATAGCACAATAAGAAGGAAAACAAACACTCCAAATTAACAAACCTGTAATGCGAACGGCTAAGGTACGAACAGGGTCTTGTTGAAGAAATACCATTACACTTACTGGGAAAGAGTCTGGCTCCTTTCTATGGCTGTCACATCCTGCTTCTGGCCGTGGAGAACCAATGCTGCTGTTTTGTGAAACAGTTCAATTGAGCAAGCAGTCAATTCTGCTAGGCTCCGGATTGCAAATGCATGGATATCCTGGACAGGAGAACCAAACAAAACACGATGAAATCAAACACTAGGGTCTTTTTGATCTATGTGTAAATGACACCACCTTGCTCCTCTCATACTGAAAAATTCAGTATTTTGAAAATAATGAGACTAATATAGAATGGTCAATAAACATTCTCTTCTTCCACAGTAGTAATGTAATTTTACAGTCAGGTACAACACCACAAAAGCAGTAGCTCCCCTACATTTAAGTGTGATAGTAGCCAAAAGCTTTACACACAAAGTGCCTGGTGGCAGCTTCAGGGAATCTGCCTCATGACACAAGATATATGCATCTCTTTTTTTCTTCACTCTTCTTGTACAGTTTGGAATTAAGATGTTACAATCTTGGATGAGGCTCAGCTTATGGATAGCAGTGAAACAAAATAAAAGGTTCAGATTATGGATAGCAGTGAAACAAGATAAAATGTCACTGGGTCCTCTATTGCAATATGCACCTCTCAAAGCTGTAAGGGAGGGCTGGGGATTTAGCTCAGCGGCACAGCACCTGCCTGGCAAGCGCAAGGTCATGAGTTCGATTCCCGGTACCGGAAAAAAATCAAAGCTGTGAGAGAGAGGGAGTGGAGGGGAAGGGGAGACAAGAGGGGAGAGAAGGAGGGAGAAGTTGAAGGAGACAAGAAGGAAGAATAGGAGGATGAGAAGAGGAGGGGATCAGCTGCTTTGCGTACCTCTACTGAACTTTTAGAGACTTTTCCAGCATTTTCTCCCTCCAACTGTTCTTCTTCTTTTCTCTCTGCTAATGTCTTTGCCTTGATCCATTCATAAGCAGTATTTCTTGCCTAAATGTAGAAAGACTATGGTTTAGCAATGACTGCATTCAGCTCACCAAGGTTACTGGACAGGATTACGGTGCGCGCAGCAGGAGCACACCAGCACCTTGACGGGCAGTGCTCTTCTCTCTGCAACAGACCATCTTACATTTTCATCCTTATCTTGCTAGGTAAGAACTCTTGACAACACTTAGCACTGCTATCCGCTCATTTTTTTTGAACATTTCTAATTCTCTGGCTTTTTAAAAAATCTGAGGTATAGCTTCCATATGGTACAAATTCAAGATACATTGACATGTGTATATACCTATGAAACTGCAAACCAGATCCAAGTACAGAACATTCCATCAGCCCCAGAAAGTCCTCTTACGGGTTCCTTCTTACTCAGTCCTGCTCAAATCATCTCCCCCTCCTCCTCCTGTCCAAAGAGCACCTTCTATTTACTACAATCTTACCTGTTCTTAGAATACATAAAAATGGATCATAATTTCATTGTGTCTGGCTGCTTAGTGTACAACAAATGTCACGTCTGTTTACCCACACTGCTGCCTATATCAGTTGTTCATTCTTACTTATGCTGTATAGTATGTCATGTTCCACATATACCACAATTTATCTATTTTCTTGATAATGAACCTTTGTGGTTTTTGATAATGAACCTTTGTGGATTGCTTGGTTTTTATATGACTGCTGTCATGTGGTTTTCCACCTAATTTTATCATTATTTCTTTTTTATTTTATAAAAAAATAAAATTTCACAACAAAATAATGAAGAATAATAATAGTTAACACACTGTGTATCATGATCTTCAAAGTAGTTGCTCAGAGTACAAATCTCTCATGTCTGTTAACGTTGGCCAGTTTTTAAACCCAAGGTTATCTGGAGTCCCTGCCTTTATTCTGTATAAGTGTCAACCTACTCCCATCTCATACTCAACATGTAAAAAGTTTGAATTGTCTCCTTTTTCTATCCCCAGATTTTTCATTCTTTTATTACCTAAAGCTTGAGAGGTCTATCACATACCAGTGACCTGAACTGAAATATAAGAAACATTTAAGATTTTTTTCCTTCTTCAGTCAATTACCAAGATGGCCTGATTTTACATAAATATTTCTTCAATCCCCACCCCCACCCCATCCCACCCACCCACCTTTTTCCTTTCTACTACCATTACCTGAGTCCCGAGTGGATCTGAATTGTTCTTCCTGCCTCTGATCTAGCTCATCTTAAATTTATTTTCTTCTGGTTAGAGTACTACGAATGATCTGCCCGAAGCCCAGAGCTAACCATTCCTCTTCCCGACAGTTCCTCATCAACTAGATCATCCTCCTTCCTGTGACCTACCAAGTCCCTGTGACCTATACCCTTACTACTTCTTCAGCCTCTTCTCTTAGCATGTTCCCCTTTATGGTCTGATAATAATGACCCATTTATCTGTGCCTATGCTTTCCACCCTCCACCTACACACTGTCTTCTCCAGGTAACTTTTAAAGGCCTTCCAGTAGAGGAGGAACTTAAACAACCCTTCTATGAACTCCTGGAGTTCTCTGGGTACCCCTAATCTTAGTGTTTAGCCAGAATACCCTTAAATTAATCATATGATAATCTTCCAACTAGACTACATATTGTAAGACAGCTGTTAAGTGTCTTATTTGGCTTTGTAACCAGTGCCTGGTATACTATGAAAGATCACCTTCTGCTCTTTACGTAGACTACATCCCTATCACCTCTCTTTCTGTAGAAAGTTCTAGATTCTTCTCAGTTATATGGTTTGGATAGAAGTACTTACATCTCAAGGCTCCAACAGTTGTCCAGTGATTCAGATTTAGCCTCTAAGAATATTAACACCCTGTCCCCACAGAGACTGCTTCATGGATAAAAAAGTGACCAAGTCAGGTCAATGGACCCCCACAACATTGGGTAAAATTACTGGAAAAGGAAAGCCCTCTTTCTGCTGGAGTTACTCAACAGGGGAAAAAAAAAAACCCACCTGAAGTTGCCAATAGTTATCTCACAGTCATGTGAGAAATCGTCCTTAAGAATGAAGCCAAAACAAAAATAGAGCCAAGGGACAGAGAGGGACAAGTTCCTGGGTACGGAATTATGCCAAGAGCCAGTCCTGCCCCTTGATTTTCTAGTTTCTTTGGCTATGGAATTCTCCTCTTATCCTATGCCAGCCTGGTCTCAGTTTTTGTCATGCACAAGTGAGAGTCCTGGTTTCTCAGGAAACATTTATTTCCCTTAAATAGAGGCATCCACTTGATTAACTTCATAAGACAGAATACAGCATATTTAGAGCTATACCAGGAATCCATAAAAGGCCTTCAGAGTTATACCAACACAGAGAATCACAGGTGTGGATGTGGAGTTGTCTTTAAGAACCCTCAGTAAGGCTGTACCCAAGGCTAAAATATGAATGAGCTAAAGTGGAACCTAAGTATCTAGGCATTCATTTCATAGAAGGTGCTTTCCCACAGGACATCAGACAAAACCCTTCAGAAGTAATCTGATGCTAATCTAAACCTTCCCATTACTTAAGCATTAACTTCTCCAGTTCAAAAAGTCAAAGAAAATGTACTACATAAAGACCTATAAGCTAGAAAAGTCAAAGTCTGTTAAGCAAATTGTGAAATATCTAGGAAGACCAGAGCACAGAATACAGGCACTTCTTCATTCATTCATGTATTATAGGTACAAACTACATACCATGCTGCATACTGGGGATTTAAGAATGAATGACACAAACTAAGATGCTGCTCTTCTTTATTCTTGTGGGGAATGCCAATTAATGAGCAAGGAAACAAAAACATATGCGTGAACAAAATATAATGGAGTAATAGAGTATAGAATTGGATCCTGGAGGGTGGCTCCAGTTGGGTGATCAGGAAGGTCTCATAGGAATAAAACTTGAGCTGAACTCAGAGAATAACAAGGAATTGGGCACAGAAACATATATGCAAAGACAGTAGGCCTGTAGATAATTCAGCTTAATATAGTTCAGGAATAGAAAAAGGCCAGTATATAAAGAATAAAGAGAATGGAGGAGCATGAAAGGAGATAAGGCAGACTGGTGAGTTTTACAGAGGAAAACAGTGACAGATCCAGCTAGAATGATACCAAGTGACTACAAGTCCAATCAGACTATAAATTTCTTTGCAATTTCTTCATAGAGAGAAAATGAGAAAAAACTAGGGATTAATTTATGTGGAATTTAAAGGAAATGGCAAGGCCACACAAAAGAAAAAGAATAAATTTAACATACTTAATGCAGATTTTTAGTAGGCATAGTACATATCCGAAGTGACCTGTCTTGTAATAATACATTAAGCGAAGTCATCATAAACTGCTGTACCAACTCAGGCAATTTATCATCCTTTTCCAAAATTAATGCCATCTGCCTGTCTGATTCAGTCTGGAACTTCTCACTGATAAGGTGTGGAAATTTAGGAATTAAAAAACACCTTTGGGCTTAGCTTCTTTAGCAACTAATATTTTCCAGCTCAAACACAGTAAGGACTGAAGAAGGAATAGGATTTGCCCAAGGTCAGACCACATATGCCAGAATTGTACTCATGAGCTCCTGCTTCAGTGCTCTTTTCTCTGTATCATCCATAGAATCAGGCCTTGATCTTCAACTTTCTACATCCTAAGTCTCAATGCCCAAAAATTAAACAATCTGAAGACTGCTTTCAGACGGCTAGAACTACCTGAGAAATAAGTGAGATAATGCCCTTTTAAAAATATTTATTTATTAATGTAATTTCCTTGAGCACAGAAGCCATGGCTTTCTCACTATTATTTCCCCTAGCATCTAGCAAATTATCTAGCATAATAAGGGTTAACTAAACATATGTTTACTGAATATCAGAATGTATGAGGCTACCTCCCAGGGGGCCATTAACAACAAGCATTTATTTACAATAAGCCAGGCAATTTGTACGAGTCTTGTGTATATTAAGGCATTTAATCCTCATAAAAACTCTACATTACCCCCACCTTACAGATAAACTACAGCAAAGAGAGGTTAGCTACTTGTTCAAGGTCATACAGAAAATGAGAGGTAGAGCTGGATTTTACCAATTAATTGTTTGTAGATCTTGACATTAAGAAATTGAAGATTTAGGTTGGGAGGTAAGATACACACATTTTTTAAAAACTGATGTATATACAGAAACATATATGTAAAAGTTTAAGTGGAAAAAAAATGCTAAGGAAAGTATATAGCATATTAATTTTCATGTAGGAAAAAGATAAGAAAATACTGATTTTGTATAGGAAAATTTTGTGTAGGAAAAAGATAAGAAAATCTGATTATATTTACAAAAGGAAATGCAGGAAGCACAAGCTAGAAAATACAGAAGATTAACGTCCAAAAGAGGAGAATGGAGAAGGAAATTAGGAAGGAATGACACTTACCTGAGTGTATTTTCTGTATAAATCTGACTTTTGGAAGTATGTTCCTACTCTATAGATTCAAAAATTAAACTAACATGGGGGATAGCAAATAAATCACAAATTCCTTTTTGGTTGATTTTAAAGTAGCATGGACAAAGCAATGAAACTATTTCAGATGCATTTTATGATTAAAGAAAAGTGCTAATGTTAAGAGGTAAGATTCTTTTTTAAATTTTTTTATTTTAAAGAGAATAATAAAAAAATAGCAAAATACCAACAACATAGACAAGAATAAAACAAAGCAAAAACAATACAAATGATACAGGGTTTTCAATTTGCATTCTTACATCTGGTAATTTGAGCAACTTCACTGAAGATAACAATATGTAATATAACAGCCACTGTTAATTCCTATCATTTTGTTTAGGAGGTAAGATTTTTTCTGCAGAAGAGGGGAGAAACAAATGTATAATGGGGAAATGCAAGGAAGCACTGTAGAAACGGAATAAAATTGGAGTTGTCTGGACTCCTGATTTCTAAAATGTGTATATGTGTACATGTAAGCGTATTTATCTATCTACATATACACACGTGTGTGAATACACATGCATATATATAAAAATGCATGTACATGAGTATATTTCCTGTTTTGCTGACTAAGCCTAGGAGCAAAAACACTCACATAGCAATGAAGACACCTAGTCCCCTGGTCTTGATCTGTAATACTACAAAGAAATTATGGTTTCTTAAAGGAATGCTAGTTCCAGGGCTGGGACACAGAGGGTACAAGATGATAATACCTTGTTATGCTGAAAAATAAGGGAGTACCCCCAAATGATGGCAAACATTATAGAGAAGTAGCCCAAAGGATGATCTGAATATCAAAATAATCAAGGACAGTGATAAACTGCAAACCACTGCGGGAAAAGTAGAAATCCACCAAATCAAACCAGTAATAGACAAAAAACAACAAAAAGGGGAGCGAGCTCTTGACTGCAGTAGAATGCTGACAGCAAACTGGTAAAAGAAGTAGGGGAGTGCTGAGGCTGAAAAGAAATCATTTTGCAGTCTTCACAGTAAAGACTTGTGCAGCAAGAATCATGAACAGAAGCTAAATTTAGAGGGAAATTATGATGAGGATTGGGATATTTGTAGGGTCTTAAAGTCTCCACAGAAAGCTGCTAGTAGCAAAGGAAAAGGAATCGTAACTCTACAGAGAGAAATCACAGAACACATCACTGATAAGGAGCAGGTAGACATTAAGCACCTTTAGACAGGACAGGCCTTCATTTACGGAGCATTTGGGCCGAGGAATACACAGCGTAACTTTAATATGAGAGAAGACAAGACAAACCTCCAAAATGAGGACTGTTTATTTTTATAAAGCAGTGGGGGTGGGAGCATTAAGGGGCTCCTCAAAAACATCAGTGCCATAAAAAAAAGGCTGAAGAACTATTCCAGATTTTTAAAAAACTAAAAGTACATGATAAATAAATGCAATTTATGGCTCCAGTGTTAAGAGGAAAAAACTTGATATGAAAAACATCACTGAGTGAAAAAACTGGAAAACGGACAAGATTAAATAAAAGTATAGTATTAACATTAAACTTACTGAACTGTACTGTGGTTATGTAAAAGATATCCATATCCTTAGGAGACGCTGAAATATTAAGGGGTAAAGTAATATAATGCTCACAACTTACCCACCAATGACTATGTATGGGTATTTGTGCACATATACACACAGAACACACGTGCAAGCACAAGTGCTTAAGCAAATCAAGCAACAGCGAATTTGCATAAAAGATACATGAATGTCGTTTGTACTATTTATGCAACTTGCAAGGTTGACTTATTTCTAAAACAAAAACAAGATTAAAACAAGATGGAAAGTACTTATAGTGAATGGCTGCAATTAAGTAAGGGAGATGAGCTGCTGAGGAATGGTCGGAAAGGTTTTCTTGGAAAATACAGCACATTCATGGGGCACAAGAGATTGGGAAGAAACACAAAGCAGCATATTCCACACCCTGAGCTATGGGAGAGAAGTTGCTATACTGACTGCACACTGGCTACCAGCTCTCTCTGGCCAGGAAGCAGTATGTGCTGCTGCTGACTAGCCTGAAATACTCTCAAGGTTGGGAGAGGTGGGTGAAGGCAGGAAGCAATCCACGACCCGGTGGATAATGTTCCATGAGCAGGCAATGGAACATGTGCTAGGTAAGCACTGCTATGGAAACAGGCCCTCCCTATCCATTCTGAGCTTTGGCAGTTCAGGGGTCATCACCAAAGACCACAGCTTGGCCCATAGGGCTGTCTCATTTCTACTTGCTGGCTGGTAACTATCCGAGTCACTAGGCTCCAGAAAATGGCAGCCTCTATCCAGCACCATGTGGAGAGAGACCACATCTATTCATCTCTGAATCATTTGGAGCCCTGAGATCTGCGAGGCCTCATGAAACATGGTCAGCACTGCCAACTTCAATGACCAACACTGTGGCCTAAATTAAGCTTCCAGACAAGCAAAGCATCCTAAATGAAGTAAGTGTAAGATGGAAGAGATTCGGGTTTGGAGGGGGATTGGGTAGTAGATATGGGTTCAGAACACTAGCATGTGGGAGCAGGAGGCAGGTAAATGGTGTAGAACCCCTATTCTGGGTATATCAAGAATGTACCACTGATTCTGGTGACACTCCAGTCAGAAATTTACACTCTTCTGCTGTGTATCTACTAAATTCTTATAAATAAAATAAGGAAAATCACCAAGAGGTGGTAACTTACCCTGGCAAGTTTCTCTGGTTTGGAAGAGACGCGCAGCTGGGAAAACAGCTCTGTTATCTCTTTGGTAAAATCTTCATCCCCTAAAAAACCAAGTCCCATGTAAAACACTCCAGAAAGACTGCCGAGGATCATGAGGAAGGTGAGGAGGATGCGAGACAGCAGCAGCAGTATCAACAACAAAAATAACAATGGTGTAGCAGCAATTAACATGAGCACAGTGCTTTAGTGCTTACAGAATCCTTTTATGCATACTGTACCAGAATCCTTTCATTCAGCTTGTAAGGGAAGTATCACTACCCCATTTCAGAGACGAAGAATGAGAGCTTGAAGAGATTAAGTGATATCCATAAGATCACAAGGAAATCTGAGGAGTTAAACCTCGGTTCTCCTCCTCCCAGTGTTCTTTGCATTACATCCAAGATGAATGGAGAAAATCAATGGAGAAGTAATGAAGGTAGAGTACCAAGCAGGTGCAGTGCATATGCATCCAAGGAAGTTTAATTTAAATTGGGATATGAAAGAACAGTTTCACACAGAAAGAAAAGGTACAAAGATTTAAGGGTGTAAGAAAGCACTGCAACAAGTCTGCTATGGTGACAGTGTCTAACAGAGGAGGACTGGAAGGGAGCAAGAAAGCTGAGTGGGATCCAGATGATAAAGGGCTGTATAATCCCTGGTAAACAACTCATACTTTACAGTCAGGGAGTGAGGGGCCACTGCATGATTTTTAAGCAAAGACAAATGTGATCAAATTAAATTATAGAAATATCACTTTGGCTGCTGAGTGGGAAATGGATGACATGAGGAACAAAAAGGGAGGGAAGACTGAGCAATAATCCATGATCCATGTAAGAGAAACTGCTGGATCAAGAAGAAAAAAAGGGAAAGAGAATCCAGGATGTTGGAAGGATTGTAAAGAAGCTACTGGAGTCAGCCTGGTAAGAGATGGCAGGCAACACAGAACACCTACATTTGAGAAACATACAACAAATGGGAGAGTCAAGGTCAAAACACCATTAACTCATCTAAATAAATGGCAGGAAATGCTCTTTTCCTCTCTACACATCAAAGCCTACTCTTCCTCCTTCTGTCCAAGGCCCAGTCCAGGCCTTCTCTGCAATGGAATGCAGAGCAGAACTCACGTACACAGGAATCTTCCAGTACTTACAATCTAGATGTGTATTTCTAGTCCAAGACTTGCAAGGGCAAATTATTACTGCTGCATTCCTGGCATTTCTCCAGAAGGTCCCCAGGGGGAAAAAACCTTAGCCCTTCTCTCTCCATGCACCGTAATTTTGTCCCCCTCTCTTAGGGCAAGGAATTAAAATGATTTAGTGATCTCAGGCACAACTTGGTTTGAGAAAAGCTGGTCTCACTGATACATCTCTGACCTTCATAACTCATCTAAACAACTCCTAATGTTATCCTACTAGGAAAAATCTAAAACCTGACTTTTATGTGGGCATTTTGTTTTCCCAACTAAACTCTAAAGTATTTCGATTCAAAGAATAAATCTGACTCCACAGTGGGATCATGTACCTCAGCAGGCTCACAAAGCCCGCTGCAGGGGAAAAAGAGGGGGGGACATTCATTTAGAGATATTTATCTCTATTAAAAACTTCTATCTTAGGGCATATTTTTAGTGTAAAAAATACATTATTACAGTATACACATTTAATGTATGAACATTCAAATACACATGTCTAAGTGCTCAATAAACTTCTACTGGTACAAGTTGTGTTAAAAAAATGTTTAGAAGTCATGGTCATGTACGCTTCACAGCACTAAGTATAAAAAGTAGTTGTTGCATTAAACAAAAGTGTGTGAGGATACAAAAGAGAAAGCACTTGTGCTTTGGAGAGATATGGGAAGAGGCTACAGTCTCCAAGAGCAAGAAATGTCTTTCTTAGGCAAAGAGATCAGGGGTGTTGAGAGAGGTACAAGTCCTAAGGACACTGATCTGATGGTGAATGAAGACGACAAATTTCACCAGAACCAGGTTCTATGGGTTTTTGCTCTCTGCTACTTCATTTTTTTTCTTTTAACAGCTTCACCAAAATCACTGTTATATTCTCAACCAAAATCACTGAATAAGGTGAACAGGGGCTGGGGCAGGTCTGGGTAGGGTGGGGGTAGCACACTGGAATTCCCTGTTGTATCTTCAGAGTCCTCATCTCTGACTGACAGGTAGGAGAAAAAATATCACAAATACAAACCCATCTGTTTGGAAAAGACCTTAGGGTTCTCTGAAAGCTATTTAAAGACTGGGATTTCTGATTACTATACAAGCCATATGTTGACTACATTGAACAAATACTGTTAATGGCACCATGTACAAATATGCTAATAAATAACTGGGAATTATCACAACAAGGCTCTGTTAGGAACAATGGAGAAACTTAAGCACATTAAAATGAAATGATAGGTTTTCTGCTAAGACTTTTAAAATGTGGATTTTTAAATCTACTTACTTATATCTCCCTAATAGTGAAAATAATAAAAGTTGCTGGTGCTTATTACCTGTCACACATTAAACATATTTCATTCAGTCCTTTAACAACGTGGGAAGAATCAAATCATCTTAAATGAGAAAATAGCAGCTCAGTGTTAAGTAATTTCTCAAGGATACACAGCTTAGTAAGTGGCAGGTCTTCATTTTGACCTGTTTATAACTCCAAAACCCATCTTTTGTTTTTTCAATCATGCTAAACTGCTATTTTAGGACAGCCTCACCACTTAACACCCCCCATTTCTGAGACAGGGTCTGCAGTGTACTAATTAATGGGCAACTTATAACACCCAGCTGAACTAAATCAGTGAGGTGCTGGGTGTGGAAGGTCCACGGAAGGTTGCTGCCAACAGCTTAAAATAAGGACTGGAGCGGAAGATGGTATGCTGCTGATTCTCCTGGAGAAGCTTGTCGTGTTGGTTTTCCTGATATGAACTCATCTGTTCTCACTGCTGGAGGAGCTCGGATCCTCACTGTTGCAGGGGATGGCTGCAGTTCTCTTTAGGGAGCCCTGGTCCTTACACTGAGTGTTGGCTTCCTGGCTCCAGTGCAGATCTATAGACCTCGTGGCACAGATCCTTCACCCTGTTGTTAGACTACCCAGCACAGACTTGCATGAGACATTGTCATGGGCTCAAGGCCCCCAACTCATGGAGGACAGTGCCATGGGCTCTAGGTCTTCAGCCAGACTTGTGCAGACATTTTGCCATAGGATCTAGACCCTCAGTTAGATTCTTTGGATCTCTAGTGTGTAGACAGATCTCTTGCACTCTTCTGCATTTGACTCTTTCATTGAATATTATAAAATAATCCTATAAGGGGCTGGGGATTTAGCTCAGCGGCCAAAAGCGCCTGCCTGGCAAGTGCAAGGTCGTGAGTTCAGTTCCTGGTACCGGAGAAAAACCAAAACAAAAAATAAAAATAAAATAATCCTATAAATTACGTATTAAATCTATTCCCTTGAAAAAACTGACAACAAAATCGGGTGCCAAAAGTGGGGTCTTTGCTGTGACTACATCTGATCACGTGGTTCAGCAGCCTTTGGGAATGACTTCTGGAAAGAGTTTGGAATGATTTGGAGATATAAGCTGAAAAAGTAGAGGTAGAATGCTTTAGGCTGTTCTGTATGGAAGATTTGGGTCAGAGTTCAGAAGACCAGAAGGCTGATAGAAATCCTGCCAGTAAAGACCAGGCTCAGGAAGTTTCTGATAAGAAGAACTGCATTGGCTGTTGGACTTAAGATGATATGTTTTATGGCTTGGCAGAAAGTTTGTCTGTACTTTACTCATGTCCAGAGACTGCCTGAGACTGAGATTAAGGGTGGGAGACTAACTAATCTTATAGAAGAAATGTCAAGCCAGTCTAATGTTGAGGTGGTGGCATGGCTACTGTTGGGGGCTTTTAGCTAGATTTACATTGAGAATCAAGAGCAAAGGGGCCAGCAGAATGATTAAAAATGCTCAGTTTGGCCAGAAAGGAAACTCTAGTAAAGCTGTGGACTGCAAAGGTAGAGCAGATATCTTGATTGCTGAGAAGCAACAGAAGAATAAAAAAGATGGCTTGAGGGCATCACAAGAAGCAGGACTCCATGCTTTGCAGCCTCAAAATTGCAAAAATGAAAGATTTTGCTTTGAGAAGAAAGCCCCAGTGCACCATGTTCCAGAATGGCAGCAGCATAAAGAATTTGTTTCTCAGAATTGGATTCAGAGTGGTCAGCCATCCAGGCACTCAACCCCTACAGCCCAGAGAGAGGTAAACCTGGCTACTGCTCCAGCTGCCAGCAGACCATGGCATCATGCACATGGTGCTGGTTTTGGATGCATGCAGAATAGAAGAGTTGTGGCGTCAGGAAGGTTTCCACCCAGATCTCATAAGGCCTAGCAGGCTGGGCAGTGTGTCTGAGGGTAGTGTGTGAAGGTATGAGTGTGAGGCCAGAGGTGCAGTAGAGGCCTCAGAAATTTGGAGAAGCCAGGAATGTGGATCATTGGATGAAAACTCCAAGGAGAGAACAGAGTAGGCCCAAGACAGAAGTCATGGAAGCTACAACAACCAGAAGTGCCATACGGGTGGAGCCACCTGAGCCCTTTAAAGTCCACTTCCTGCCACAGATAACTTCAGATGCTGCAAGTGGAACTATAGGACTTAATGTCTACTCTGATGGATTTTGGACTTGCTTTGGTCACATTCCTTTGTTTGTTTTTAACTTTTGGAATGGAAATGTCTACCTTGTGGCAATGAATGTTGAAAGTGTTTAACTTTCTTTTCATATGTACAGGGGCTTACAGCTATGAGTTTGCCTTAAATCTCAGAGAAGACTTGGGACTTGGACTTTTCAGCAATGTTAAAACTGTAAGACTTCGGCAACTCTTGGGGATGGACTAAATGCCGTTTGTGTAAAGGAGTGTGCATGAGTCTTTGGGGGCTCAGGGGCAGAAGGTTATAGTTTAGGTCTAAATGTCTTCCCAAAGCCCCATGCACTTTTAGATAGGGCTTTTTTGGAGGTAGTCAAATCTAGAGTTTGATTCATTCATGGTTCAACACTAGGATTAAGGGTGCTGGGCTTAAGGGTGAGTGATTGCTGGATCAGTCCACTGTTTGTACTGGCACTGCCCTAATCCCTGCAGTCTGGCTTGTCTCCCCCATTTGCATTTATTGCTATTGCTATCTCTGGCCACCATGAACAGTTGCCCCTCTGCCATGTGACACCCTGCCTTGGAGCCTGCCAATTATGGACTGAAACCTCTACAAACTGAATTAAATAAACCTTCTTCCTTTAACTATGTGTGTTGGGCATTGTCTCAGCAAGGAGGAAAAAAGTGAGACAGAGACTCACTATGTAGTTCAGACAGGCTGGCCTCAGACTTGCGGTGAACCTCCTGCCTCCGTCTCTCAAGTGCTAAGATGTGCTATCACACCCAGGTTCAAAACCATTTTCTTTCTTTTTTTGAGATAGTGTCTCACTATGTAGTTCAGCCTAGCCTTGAACTTGGGGTAATCCTCCTGCATCAGTCTCCCAAGTGCTGGGATTATAGATATGCACCAACATCCTGGCCAAAATAAGGATTTAGTACTTTTCCTAATAAGGAAGTACCTTTTCCTTATTAAAGTACCTTTTAGTACCTTTGGTACCTTACTAAAGTACCTTTAAGTACATTTTCCTAATAAGGATTAGTACTTTCACAAAAAATAAGGGAGATGCTATGTAACCAGCTAGCTTGACTTCTTAGAACACAAACAGAAACAAAAAAGAAAAAGTCCCGGTCAGTGCAGAATCCAGACACACAACTTTATGTCCTGACCCCTTTCTGTCTCAATGGACAACTTGAGTAAGTCTAGTTACTTGGTTTCTCACTCACACCATAGTAGGTCAGAAATAACCCAAATGAAATTCAGGGGATATCAGAAGAAAGAATGAAGCAAAGTAAAAGATGGGTACATAAATATATAGAAGAAAATACAGATACACAATTCTTAAAAGTAATGACAGTCATTTTTGTAAATTCTGCAGTTTTGGGTAATTTAACCTAACAGTTCTCAAACATTTTGGACTCAGAAGCTTTATATACTTGAAAAACTTTTTCAGGACCCCAAAGAATTTTTTTAAGGTGAGTTATATATACATAGACATTTATCATATTAAAAATTGAAACTGAAATGTTTAAAGTATTTATTTATTCACTGAAAATAACAAACCTACTACTTGCTAACATATTTTTTAAAGAAAAAATGTTTTTCAAAACAGAAAAATTTTAATGAGAACAATGCCACTTTTATTTATCACATCTTTGATAAATCTCTTTAATATTTAGCTTAATGCAACATGGCTAGATTCTTTTATCTGCTTTTACAGTTTGTTGTGATATGTTGTGCTTAAATATGTGAACAAAATCCTCACTTGCAAGGACACATAGTTGGAAAGCAAAAAAAATTTGTTTTTCAAATTAAATTTGCTTTTGTGTATTTGCATGTAGTGTTGGGGATCAAAGTGAGGACTCTGTACATGATAGGCAAGCACTCTACCAACAGCTATATCCCCAGCCCCGGAAGAAGTATTGTAATGTATTTTTCAGATAATTAGTAAAGACTACCCTTAGATATTCTTTACTACCACAACAAAATTCAACAAGTGGACTTTCACGGAGAATAGGCTGCAGTGATCTGTATTGGAATGAACCTGAAACCAAGTTATAAAATTTTGTACTCAGTTACAGTAAATTAAAATCTATCACTCTCATTTGCCCAGACATGATTGTCTAATGTCACACATTACTCACTGGGAAAACACTGGTTCTCTGAGTTATGCAGATCTTCCAAGCGCTGACACATTTCATTGTAAAACATCTACAAATTATTATATTTGTTACTATCACCACAGATTTCATCAGAAGAATCTGTAAACAGCACTGGGAAGCTGTGAAGCTCAAAACAGCAATAAATACATTTTATAAATTTCTAACTTTGACTTTGTTTGAATTTTTATCATGAGTCATAAACACAACCAGATGCTTTCCTTGAAGCAAAGGCTCACTTCACTCATTTTCAAGATAATGTTCACTAAATAGTCTATTCTGAATAGTCTGTGTGCCTGTGTAAACTTCTAAGTGAAAATGATGTTCCATGACAAAAACAAGTAGTTCACCTCACAACTCAAATAATGTTAGTTTTGCTTGAGAAAACCCCCTACAACAGCATGTATCACATCATATATTAAAAAGAGTATACCTCAGGGTCAAGATCTAATAAAATGAATAATTTTTACTGTTTCATCAAGTTAAATAAAACCTGCATAAAAAAAAAAAAAAAACGATATTAGCAAAGCTTGGTGCTACTGTCTATGGGACCAGCAATTTTATCCATCACTACTTTTCATCATCAGTAAGCATCCAAACAGTAAAAAACTAAAAATAAAAATGTTTAAAAATAAATTACATCTTGGGATTATTATTCCCTTTAAGGACTCTGGACTCAAGGATCTGTAGATCACATGTCGTAAACCACTGATTTAATCTACCACATGGGTAACTGACCCCGTATGTCCTAATGAACACCAGCAGAATTATTTATGCAATTTTAATGTTTACAACTGATTATTTCATCAAGAAAAAGTAAAACTATTCATTAGATTCCGTTTTCTTTAAAAAAGAAAGTGTAGAATATACCTTAGAAATATTTCCAACTAAAATGTTAAAATAAAATGTCCCTTATACCTTAATATTCAGTTGCCCAGAAACTACAGTTTACATGAACTACCATATTTCCAGATTATTTTGCAAAAATGAGAAGTTTCAACATGCAAATTTTGTCAGAAGTGTAGATATTAAAATTCAGGACAAAAGAACTTTTAAAAATGAAAAGCCAAACGATCACCCACATTTGGGTAGCTGTCACTGTGCATGCTTCGATTCAACAGCAGATCTGGCATGACAGGAGTCAGGGAAGCGTAGCTGGATTATCTAGAGATATAAACATTCATGGGGGCAACCAAACTGAGAAAAAGATCTGACCAGAGCAGCTCTCTCACTGAAAAACTACGCAGAGTTGCATGTTGCAACACTGGACTTCGAGAAGCTACCAGTAGACAGGGAGAAGAGGAGATGGGACACAAGGCTGACTTGGCCATTTTAATGCCTGGCAAGAAGGCTACAGAGAGGATTTTCCATAAAAAAATAAAATAAAATCAGGATAGAGTAATGAGACAGTAAATAATTTATTTCCACAGCAAAGCAGTACCTGCAAACATAATGCATTCTCCCCACTCAGATGCTCAACTTTTGTATTACCTTTTCTCTCTTCTTCCTCTTCATCACAGAACTCTGCTAGGGAAAATGCTTCTTTGAGTTGCTCTAATTCAAGTTTTAGGGTCTCTAATTCTTCTCCACTCAGAGAATTAAGTACAGACTTCACCTGAATGGATATAAAATAATAAAAAATTGTGGAACTATGAAAGGAAAAAAATTCTCAAACGGAGAAGACAATATAGGTCAAACTAAAGTTAGTACAAGTTCACTAGCCAATATAATATAAGCAATTCCTTAGAAATCTTAAGACAGGAGGCTAGTTATCATACAAATGTAGAAAAATTTGTACTTCCAAAAATAACATAGGCCACGGAAAAAATGAATAGTTTGCAAATTATTAGTGCTTAACAACAGTTTAGAAATCAAGGTGTTGTGGACTGTAATCTCAGTACTCAGGAGGCTGAGGCAGGAGGATCTGCACATTCAAGGCCATCCTGGGCTACACAGTGAGTTCAAGGTCAACCTGGACTACATAGTAAGACATTATCTCAAAAAAAAAAAAATCAAGGGGAAACGAAATATTCTTGAATCAATTAAAAACTAACAGGTAAATGTCTACAAATTAGCAGCTTAAATCAACAGATTTTCTTGGCAGCTGAAGCCAAAGAAACCAAAAAAAAGAAAAAGAAAAAAAAAAGGGTGGGGTAAAGAAAAATAACAGATGTGCTATTAAAAGCTCTAAAAAAAAAAGGGTGGGGTAAAGAAAAATAACAGATGTGCTATTAAAAGCTCTTTGTTAAAAAAAAACAAAAAGCTCTTTGTTAATCTGCCCTTTTATGTGTCACTTTAGAAAAAAAAAATCTGACTCATTGTGATTCTTGGTAGCAATAATTTAAACATTGGCTTTTCGTTTGTTCTGGTAGAGTATTTCCACAGAGCCTCAAGCCTCCATCAGAAATGCATTTCATCTCCCAAATGCACAAAGAGAAAATAAGCTACGCAACATTCCTTTTTTTGAAGTTTTTCGGTTGGAATTTTTGCTTTGGAATTACCTTTATTTCACTTTCTTGGGAAAGCATCTCCAGAGCTTCTAGATGGGAAAGGCCTTGAAATTCATCAAAGAGTAGCCCATAATGAGTATTTTTGTCAGTTTCCATGGTAACCTCATTGGAGGTCCATAGCTCTTCTTTCTCCTTCGCCTCTCGTAAAACCTACAAAGAGATGGAGGCATTACACTGAAACAGTAATGAGAGCTCAAGGGTGAGTTTCAAGAGTGGAAGGAATCAAAGCTAGGACAGGTGTCAGCACAGAGCACTGCACTTTCATTCTTGGCATTGCAATTCAAATGCAATAGGCTCAGGAGCTGCGGGAAAAAAATAACACATAATCTGGAGCTAGACAAGGTAAATAACACCCAAGGAACCAGGTGTTTTTCTCAAAGTGGTTTAAACATTAATCTAATAAACAACTTTGACTTGATTTAGCATTCTGCACTGCACTGACAGGAGGCTACTGCAAAAACAAAAGAGAGAAAAAAAAAACCCTGGCATTTTCCTAAGCATTAGAGCTCTCAATGCTCAACCCCCAAAGCTTTAATTTAAAAAAACCAATGAAAATTCTTTAAAAGGAAATTATAACAACGTCCCACATTAATAAATGCAAAAATACAAATCAAAACAGAAACAGGAATCAAACAGGTAAAGAAAACAGTACCTGAGATAGTGTAGAATTTCGGTTCATCAGACCCTTAGTTCTTTTAAAGCCAGGATCCCCTTCTGCTATTACATCCATTGTCTTTTTCCCAATGAATTCTAAGGCATCCAAGCCTCCAGCAATAACGCTCTTTCCCTAGAAACCACACACAACTTCATTACAACAATAATGAGAAAATATACTTAAACACTTTGATCACAGCATTTAAAAGTATGACCATAGATATCAATCCAACGTAAGAATATGGAGCACATGAAGTAATCATACAAGGCTTGCAGTAAAGTAACTAGGCATAACCACCTTGGAAAACTGTTGGTTATTATCTACTACACATGCATGAGCCAGAAATTTCAGGTGTTCATCAGAAAATATGCATGTAAAAGCCTGGGCATACCAGTATTACTTACAATAACTACCCCCAATGCTTACCAACTCTGGAATAAATGCAATGTGACAATGGAACACAGCAAAGAAAATACTCGTAAAATGCGACATGGATATATTATGCAAACATAATACTGTGTGAAAGAAGCCAAATACAAAAGGGCACAAGGGGTTCAGTTCCACTTACATAAAGCACAGAAGTAGGCAAAATCAATCTACGACACTAGAAGACAGGGCTAGTTGTCTCAGTGCAGAAGATAAAATAAGTCAGGGGCACCGGACATACCATAATATTAGTCTAAGTATGTTCCCATGGTGAAAATTCAAATTGAACACATGATTCCACTTTCTGTATGGATGTCACATTTCAACAAAAAATTTTTTTAAAAAGTACTAGCCATTGACTCTTGTATATCAATACTGTGTCCTCTATTATCCTTTTTAACATATTTCTCACTATACATGGTTTTCTACGTGTCTATCATAAATACAGATACTTTTCCCCTTCACTTAAAAGATGTAATTATAGGAAAAGTATTTTTATAAAGCAAAGACATTGTCTAGGCCACCAAACTAAGAATTCCTGGTCCATAAAATCTTATATATATTTCCTCTCTGTAATTTTTCATCCTATATGCCTTTATTTCTTTAAAAAAGTTTCTATGTAGCTCTTACTCTACCCTTAAGAAGTGACTGATCTTTAGGACTCCCTTAAGAGTTATCAGTTCCCATGGCTTTTCAAGGAAAAGGAGAAAAATACGCAAACCATTATAATAATGAAAGGCTTGAAGCTCCCCTGGTGCAATCAGTTAGCACACGGTACTTGTAATCAAAGGCCACCTTGTACTTTTTACTCACTGTGCTCTGAACAGCAGAAGAAATGGTCGAGAATACACCAAACGGACCAGCCACCAAGGAGTTTTCATTCTCTCTGGTACTTGTCTCTTCTATAGTAGGAGAAGGGCCACATGAAAGGTAAATATGTAAGGAAGGGTCACTGTTTTACTCTCTTAGCATCTATGAGACTTTTCAATAATTAGACCCTGCTTCCTGTGACCTTAAACCTTTTTAAAAAAAGAGAAAAAACACTAACACAGAATTTCAAAACAAGATGAGAGATTAACAATGGTTAATATATTACATATTGTTATCTTCAAAGTAATTGCTCAAATTAAAAGATAGAGGCACGCATTACTGATTAAACAATATAAGCACAAATCGTTTTTTTCAATGAACTAAATCAGTAGTATAACTACCTTATCTATCTTTTGTATATGTATTTTTTCTCTTCCCTTCTTTTCTCCTTTCACCCATCCCAGTTGTTCTTTCTTTTTGAGCAGCTGCTTTCCCTTTCACAACATCTGTTATAGATTTTGGGTCTTACCTACTTTTTCAATTTCTTACACTAGGGAGACAGTACAATGTTTTGTGAGTTTGATTTATTTCACTTATGAGTATGGTCTCTAGTGGCATCCATTTACCTATAAAAGCTGTGAGTTTATCCTTCTTTATAGCTGAGTAGTACTCCATTATATAAAAATACCGTATCTTTTTTATCCATTCCTCAGTTGATAGGCATTTGGGTTGTTTCCAAGATTTAGCTATTAAAAACTGTACTACTATAAATAGGAGTGCACATATATCACTGTGGTTTTTCATTCTTCTGGGAAAATACCCAAAAGGGGAATAGCTGAGTCAAATGGGACCTTTAATCCTAGTTTTTTGAGGAATCTGCACTCTGATTTCCACAATGGTTATAACAGTCAACACTCCCACCAACAGTGGAGAAGGGTTCCTTTTTCCTCACAGCCCCTCCAGCATTTGTTATTGGTTGATTGTTTGATGATAAAAAGCCCTACAGAAAACTGGAATAGATGGCTTTTACCTCAATCTGATAAAAACGACTTATGACAAACCAACAGCCATTATCATACTGAACGGACAAAACCTGAAAGCTTTCAATCTAAAATCAGTAATAAGACAAAGATATCCACTATCACCACTCCTATTCAATATAGTTCTGGAAACATTAGCCGGAGCAATTAGATAAGAGAGAAATAAAAGGAATAAGGATAGGAAAGGAAGAAGTTAAACTATTATCATTTGCAGATGACATGATACTCTACATAGACTCCCAAAACACAAAAACACTTCTAGAATTAATAACCAAATTCAGTAGCACAGCTGGATACAAAGTCAGCACTCAAAAATCAATAGCATTCCCATACACAAACAACAAACTCACTGAGAGAGAAATTAGGGAAACCATATCCTTCACAATAGCATCCGAAAAAATGAAATACCTAGGAATCAATTTAACAAAGGAAATAAAAGATCTATACACTGGAAATTATAGCACTCTGAAAAAAAGAGATCAAAGAGGATATCAGAAAATGGAATGATATCCCTTGCTCATGGATAGGAAGAACCAGCATTGTAGAAAATGACCATACTCCCAAAATTTACACACCTTTAATGCAATCTCGATCAAAGTATCATTAGCATACCTCACAGATCTAGAGAAAATATTCCTAAAATTCCACTACTTCTGGAAACAGAAGAGACCTATAATAGCAAAGGCAATCCTGGCCAACAAATGCAGGACAGGAGGCATCACAATCTTTTTTTATTATTTTAAACTGAAAGTCTATTTTAAAATGAAAGCTAAAACATGCAGCTCATTTTTTCTTTCCTTTCATGTCAAAAATTAAGTGCAGTCTTTTGAACATGCTACTGATCAACACAACTTTAAATTATATACTAAATGATCTCAGTGACACAATCTCCTAGACAGGTTAAAACTATTACATCAGAACACAGACCAGTGGTTGCTAACGGCTGGAAGAAGACAGACGGGAGTGACTACAAAGAAACATAAAAGAACCTTTTTCAGTAATGAAAATACTCTTATATCTCAATTGTCCATATAGTATAGAAAATATTCTTTATCTGTACCATCATGTTGTACTATACAGTTATAAATATAACTATGTTAATCAAAACATAAAACTGCACAGGTATAGAGTAAATTTTGCTGTATGTAAATAACTTGATTTTATTGTAGAAAATTACAGTATTAGTAGGTATAGAACACAAACATTACAAAGAGTATGCTTCCAATAATCTATTTTATTAACCTAGAACCTTACAGATCAACTATTACATCAAATGATCAACCTATATTATACCAGATACTCCATTAGAGGGAGGACTTTCACTTCCGCCTATGGTGAGTTAACTGATACTGGACTTGCCCTTCTACAACAGCAATTAGAAACTGGACAAAATTTTTATTAACAAGGATAGTACAAGACTTCAGTCTAGGGGAAAACAGAAACAAAGTGAACTCCACAATTGGGCTGGCTTTCTATCTAGAGGCATCTTCCAAATCACAACGGAAGGTGGGAAAACCTAAGCAGAGCACAACAAATCATGACTGAAAAAGAAAAAGACTACCATCAGGGAAGGCTGATACAGCTGGAATTTTCAAAGCAGAAAACTGGAAAGAACAGAGTCACATAACTAAAGAGCTCTAAGGATCTACATAGGTGTGCTCTTGTGTCTGTAGCTGGATATTCCACTGCTCAGGCAAGAGGAGACTCTACAAGGCTGGAAAATGAACTATTACGGAGCAGTGACCTATTCCTAGAGCTCCTGTCTGGCTTAGGCATTAGACTTCCAACCAACCAAAATAGACAGATTTCATTAAACAGCTGAAAATTTCATAAAGACCTCAGAAGATGAGGTCCTACCAGTAGATATAAATTAGTCATTAGGGTAAGGTCTATTCTAGATTCATCCTGAATAAGCTTAATGTTTTGAAGTACCAATCTAACTACACATTTATCATAGCTACCTGCAACAAAAGGAAAGCAAAAGACAACACCCTTTAAAGGACACAACAAAATCTCTAAGTGATGATCAAATGATTTTCATCATTTTCATCATGAGCCTCTGCTCATCTTAAAGTTCTGAAAAGACACATTTCAACAATCTGCAGTGTTATCTGGCAACCAATAAGGAACCACAAAGAAATCAACAAAGCAATCTAAAAGAAAAGCCTACCCAGAACCCTACTATCAATGAATCACTAAACTAACTGTATCTACAAGTGTTCCTCTAGAGTTCTTCAGTGAGAAAGATAAACTCAGTTTTAGTCTCACATTCTTTTTGCAGGAATTCGTACCAGCACCTCAAATTCATATACACAGTCATTTGCACCCATGTTTGTATAATGTAAAATTCTCCCTTGACCATAAGTGACCCATGTAAAAGTGGCCTAAGTTTAGCTACACATAACTTCTCCCAGAAATTCGGAAGGAGAAATAACTAATGAGAGTTGGTCACTGAAGGGTATGTATACCAGGATTCAATATACAGCTGGGGAAAGTAAGCAGAGTCAGTCAGTCAAGACTGACTCTTCAAGAGAAAAAATGAAGAAGCAGGGAGAACAACAAGGTCCCTGGAAGACTGGGAAAGCAAACCAGTCTTAAAACACTCTCTAGGGGCTGGGGATTTAGCTCAGCGGCACAGCACTTGCCTGGCAAGCTCAAGGTCGTGAGTTCGGTTCCCGGTACCGGAAAAAACCAAAAAAAACAAAAAACAAAAAACAAAAACAAAAACAAAACAAAAAACACTCTCTACTTTCTGGTTCCAGGCCTTCTTGATCCCTGGCAATAATTCTGTCTTTTATACTTTAAGTGGGGGCAAGTTTCTCTTTGAACAAGGAAAGCCTCCAGAATAAAACTTCAACTTCATAAAAATCTAAATGTAAAAGCAGTAACAAAAAATATAGTGCCCACTAACACATTAAAAAAAAAAAAAAACAAGCCATGAAACATTCAAATTCAGTTAACTCTTATTGGTCACTTACTAAATTATGCCATTCAAAATGCTCTGCAACTCTCATAGGCTACATTCACTGCCTTATGCCTTTAATGTTTTCAACAGTTCCTTCAGATCATGTGACAGATGCAAAAAGTGAAGAGACACATAAGTGGTTACCTGACACAGACCTTGAAATGGCAGCTAAAGGATCCAAATCTTTTATCTCACCAGTCCCATGATGCCACACCGTAGTACATGTTAAATAAATACCTACAGAAAACTAAGCTCAACTGTTCCATTTCAATCCAAAATTCTACACCTTAGTATTTCCACATACTGACCTGCTGCAAACTTGACTTCAGAGGAAATTTCACTGGGACTAGGGATCCCAAGGGAAGTCTCTGCCTTCTCAATGACATTTGAAATACCTTGTCCTGATAAGACAAACGGTAACACTTTTCATGTTGGTTATCAAAACTGAAGAAACAAACCAAAAGTCCACCCACATATTTTTAAAACCATTATGACCATAAGGCATGTTATTTTAACAATATGTAACTAATCATTAGTATGCTCTCTTTACACAAAAAGTTGATTTATCACCACCAAAGCACAGGCTTACATTAATAATTCCCAGACTTCAACCTTCATATGAGAAAATGCTGCAAAGTCTAGCATCAGAATGTATCAGCCCATCATTACTAACCATCCTTAACCTACAAGCCCTTTGAGTAAACATGGAGAGGACAACCATTAACAAAGTTGTTTGTGACACATATCTGCAGCAAAGTGCACACAATAATCATGAAATGACCTTACCTACTGTAGCCACTGTAGCTGAAGCTGAGGAGAGCAAGGACTTGCCCCAGCTTCCCCAGTAGCCCCATCCAGTCTGGGTTACATCTTTAGAAACAGTCTCCTATTTTTCCCAGTAAGAAAAAAAAAAAAAAAAAAGAAAACAGAAAATTATAGGAAAGTCAGAACATACAGACAAGATATCTGTTAATCAAAGTATGAGTGAATAAAACATATTATTTGCCTAACAAAATATATTACTTGAGCCAGACCTGGTGGAACATACCTGTAATCCTAGCCCTCTGGGAGGCCAAAGCAGGAGGATCACAAATTCAAGCCTAGCCTGGGTAACTTAGCAAGATCCTGCTGTCTCAAAATAATAAAGGAAAAGCTGAGGATGTAGCTCAGTACAAAGGTCCTAGGTTCAATCTTGAGTACCAGAAAATTCATCAATCAATAACTTGACTGACAGGTATATGTTAGCCAGCATGCAAGCACCACATATCCAGAACAACTACTCATAATGGCACTCATAAAAAGAGAAAAATGTTTTGTGGTTGTACAATCAAAGAAACGCAACCCTAAATTAATATAGCTTCCAAATCTCTTTTAATCCTAGTGTTTTTACATTCTAATATTTTAAAATATGCTCTACTTAGGGTGCAACCTGTAATACCTGAACTTTTGAAGTTTCAAGGTCACTGGATGGTTTGATCTCTGGTCTTCTACGAGTGGACGCCACAAGTTCTGATTCACTCTCTGGCTTGGCACTTTGGTCAACAGACTCAGAATTCTTGTCTGGCTCACGGATTTCATCTTTAAGGATGGGTGTTGTCTCGGTTATTACTGGAGTCTCAGTATCATCTTTATCTGACATGATTAGAACATCACCTGATCAAAAGTCCAAGAAAAAATGTACTTATATAGGCTTTCTAAGTCTAAATTCACAGATCTACATGCAGATGTAAAAAATAATAGAGAGACCCCATATAGCCTCACTGAGTTTCCCCAGTAACACTAGCATAATTACAGAATAATATCACACCAAGAAACTGACACTGATATAATCCACCTTACTCAGATCTCATGCGTTTTATATGCACTCACTTCTGTGTACATAATTCTATAAAATTCTATCACATACAGTCTCATCCTTTGCTATCCATAGGGAGTTGGTTCCCGGATCCCCCGATGATAGCAAAACCCATGATAGTAAAGTTTTTTATACAAAGCACTGTAATATTTACATATAACCTGCACACATCCTTTTATATACTTTAACATCCATAGATTACTTATAATATCCAATGCAATGTAAATACTACGTAAATTGGTGTTATATACTGTTTAAAGAATATTGACAAGGAAAAGACTGTTCAGGTTCACTACAGATGAGTATTTTCCCCAAATATTTTCAGTCTATGATGGGTTGAATCTGCTGATGAAGAACCCAATATGGAGGACCAACTGTATGGATGCTTGTGACCATCACCACAGTCAAGATACAAAACAGGGGGCTGGGGATTTAGCTCAGCGGCAAAGCGTCTGCCTGGCAAACGCAAGGTCGTGAGTTCGGTTCCTGGTACTGGAGAAAAACCAAAAAAAAAAAAAAAAAGATACAAAACAGTTTAACCAGAAGGGTCCCCTGTGCTATCCTTTCTTTCTGCCACAATCACTTCCCAAACTTCTTCCAACCCACAGAAACCAACTATTAATCTGTTCTCCCTCTTTAAAATTTTGTCATTTTATGATATTATATAAATCATACAGAATATTATCTTTTGAGACTGACTTTTTCACTCAGCACAAAAACCTCCAAAACCATTTCGGTTGTATGAATAATTCCTTTTTATTTCTAAGTAGTATTCTACAGTTTAGATAGTTTAGACAACTGCAACTATTTATCCCCTGAAGGTTGTCTGCGCTGTTTCATTTGGGGCTGTTACACAAATAAATTAACTATGAAAGTTCATGTACAGATTCTTACAGAAACATGAGCTTTCTTTTCTCTGGGCTAAATGACCAAAGTATAAACAATGGGTTATTACGGTAAGTACATCTTTAGTTTTATCTGAAACTGTTATATTCTTTTCCATAACAGTATGTTATTTTATTTCCCCCTAGGATTTAGGGTTTTTTGGTACTGTGAATCAAACTCAGGACCTTGAGCTTGCCAGGCAGGTGCTTGTGCCACTGAGGTATATCCCCAGTCCTCCCCTCCAGGATTGTATAAGTAATCAAGTTTCTCCTCCTTCTCTCCAACTTTCATGTTAGCATTATTTTTTATTTAAACCATTCAGAGAGCTAAGTGGTGGTATATTACCGTGGCTTTTCAGTTGCATTTCTACAATAGTTAATAATGTTGAACCTCTTTTCATTTGCTTATTTGTCACCTAAATAACCTCTTCAGTGAAATACCTACTTGCTTGCTTATAATTAGATAAAGTCAGCGGTTTGGTTTTTAGGTTTTTTTGGATGGAGAAGGTGTTTTTTCTGGGGTTTTTTGTTTTTTGAGTTTTTTTCCTTTTTGCTGTTGAATTTTGAGAGCTCTTTATTCTACACTCAAGTCTTCTGTTTAAAATGCAGTTTTACCATCAATATATACATTTAAAAATGTTCCCCATCACTAACTACTTGAGAAATGCCCATTGAAACGAGATTCCATCTCACTCCGGAAAAAATGGCTATCATCAAGAAATCAACTAATAACAAATGCTGGCAAGGCTGGGTGGGGAAGGAGGGAACCCTTCTAGACCCAGCTATTCCCCTTCTAGGTATCTTCCTGGAAGAGTTAAAGACATCATACCATAATAGTGTGTACATACCCATGTTTGCGGCGGCACAATTTATAATAACTAAACCTTGGAAGCAGCCTATATGCCTAATAGCAGATGAATGGATAAAGAAAATGTGGTATTTATTCACAACAGAGTACTACTTTGCTATAAAGAAAAATCTGAGTCATTTGTAGGATGGATGAACCTTGAGACCACATTAAGTGAAATAACCAGACACAAAGGCTTAAATATCACATAATTTCTCTTATATGAGAAACTCAACATACAAATAAAGTACAAAGAAAAGACAACAGTACAAAAGAGAAGAAAGTTATTGTAATTCAACATGGACAGCATATCTAAAAGTGTGACTTGATTTAGTATAAATGTCTTATTTGTTTTAGAGGTTCTTCTGGCCTGTTAGTCTGGCTGTTAATCTTATGTATGAAAAATGACTTTATAGGACTTACAGGATAAATAAATGAATCTGATGCTGCAAAAAGGAGGAGGGGAATAGAGGGGAAGGAGAAAAAAGCACTGAGATGTGTTATGTACATGCACCAGCTCCCCATAAGCAATCTAGTCACTATGTCCCGCAAATATGTAGTAGTAAAAAACACCAAAATTTTTTTCAAAATAAAAAATAAAGTAAAATGTAGTTTGCAAATGCCATATCCCAGTTTATAGCTTATCTTTTCATTGTCTTTGTGTGGTCTCTAACAAAGCAAGTTTTGCATTTCAACGCGGTATCATTATCAGTTTCTCCTTTTATCAATTATTCCTCAAAAATCTTATTAATCATTACTATTTCAATTTTTCCAGAAAGATTATTAAAGTCACAGACAACATTTTGGTCAGATCAGCTTAGAATAGCAGTAAAGCTCTTTGGCAATTAAAGTCAAGATACTATTGGTACGTCTACAAAAAAGCAGATACTAATTTTCAGGATAAACAACTATCACCAAACAAATGTATGTCACACATATACAGGTAGCTATAAACAAATACCCTAAGCATGAACAAATAGTTTAGTCGAGTATGAGCACAATCTATGCCATCAAACTGTTTCTAATATAATAGAAAAGTCATACTAACAACTAAGACAGAGTGGACACAGCACTATAAAAGAGGTACATACAAAATGCTAAAAGAAAAGGAAAGGAAGCTGGCCATTAGATTCAGGGTATATAACTCATAAACACAGTACCTAAAATAAGTCTCAAGCAGTGGTCACCAACTAGGAATCTGAGTGCCAAATTCAGCCTACAGATGTTTTTAATTGAACTGTACAGTATTTTTAAAATTAGTTGCTAACATTTAAAAATCAGACTTCATATAAAAATACAAGTTGCCAAGTTCTCTAGTAAAACTGGAAGATCTGGCAACACCAGGTCACACCTGACTGGGTAATAACTACTCTAGCTTAAAGAGCCCTTGGGTCCTTTTAGATAAGGCAATGTTCTCCCATAGTCCACAATTTCCATTCACATCCACTTCATCCTTTATTTCAGCCTGATTAGTACCATAGGCATTTTAGCTTGCAACACTGCCTTAAGTTGTACTTGAGATGTTGAAAGACGAAATTGCCGATGAGAAATTCAAGGGTATGGAAACAACACAGGAGAAAGCCCACTAGGATATGAGATGGAGTCAGTTACCAGGAGTAGCTAAAACATCAGAGAGACGATGATGGGGAAGCACAAGGCTAGGTAGATTAAGACAACACCATGAAACCTAAACCATGTTGGTATAACATATCTTATACAGTCCCAAAACATATACAAGGAATCCAGATACAACCATCAAATGACATACAAACCAACTTCAAATATGTTGATTTGCTTCTAAACATCTTATAATCCCCCTCCATAACAAGCTGTGGGGATACAGAACTAATGTAAGGTAATTTCTACCCCACTTAATTCAAAAGCCTATCTAATAGTAAAGACCATACAGTCCTTGCACAATGTTCAATACTTCTCTAGATGAGTAAATATGCATTGTACTGTTTTTCCTTATGCTCTCTCAGGTCACAGCACCTAATAATATTACATACACTATACTACATCTAGTATATATAATACAGTATATCTATTACCTAAATTTAATTCACATTACAAAAGACTAGAAGGCCAGACGTGGTGGCTCACGCCTGTAACCCCAGCAGTTGGGAGGCTGAGGCAGGAGGATCATTGCAAATTCGAGGCCAGCCTGGGCTACAAAGTGAGCTCAAGGCCAGCCTGAACTGCATAGCGAGACTCTGTCTCAAAATGGACAAAAATAAATAAATAAATAAGACTATAAGGACATACTCCAAGACATTAAACACTTTCATTTGTGCAACGAAGATTTAACACGTGTCTTGAATTTGTCACACCAAAAGATAATTTTTTGTGTGTGTCGATGGCTGCTTATTACTATCGTTGTAAGAAGGGCTGTAGCATCCCTGTCCTGAACAGCTTCATAACGGGACAATAACACCAGGTGCACGGAACCGCCCTGTTTAATGTTTCTGTAAGCTTTCCAGGTGTTCCGTAGGGTTTGTTTTCACAACTGGAGGAGGAAAGACTCCAACAACCTGAACCTCCAAAGTACAAGTACAGGCAGCCTTGCACTCGCACACACACCGCTGCCCGCCGCATCTACGCAGCGGAGAGTGGTACAGCTCAATACCACGCGCCCTGGCTCTGCAGTCAGACTTTCCTCCAACCCTAGACTGGACCGACCGCGGCCAAGGGAGTTCCCTGACCTGCATCTGTTTCCCCGCCCAACCCGGCGCTGCGGTGCTTCCGGTCCAGACCCAATGACGCGGTGGACCCGGGTCCTGGGACACTGACGGCACAAACCCGCTCGGAGAGTAACAGCCGCTGTCCCCAGGGACCTGTGGAGGTGGCGGCTGTTTGCACCCTTGCCATGGCCCCAGCACGGCTGTCTCTAGGCGTACAGACACGCCTTCCCACGTCCCCCACTCCCAAGCGCAGGGCCCACACGGACATGGGGCAACTCGCGCTCCTAAGTTCTCCGATGCCAACAGCGACACGAACAGGACCCAGAGGCTCTCACAAGCCCGCGCCTTGCCGTGGGGTGGCCGCGCCCACCTTCGGGCCGCCTCCTCCCCGCCTCGGCGACCTCCGCCGCCTCAGGGTCCCTGGAGCTCGCACCCTGCCTGCTCCGCCCGGGAAGCCCCACGCCACCCACCTCCTCCCTCACCGCACCCAGCGCCGCCGACTCGCCGCTCCGCCAACCCCGGAAATACTTCTGTTGCTGGGAGGCGGGGCCGCGCCTGCCCGAGAACACTTCCGGGTCAAGCAGCTGCTCGGGCGGAAGCGATACAGCTTCGGTTCGGTAAGTGAGAGCTTGGACCCGGTAGCCTCGAGGGAGGGGTGGAGGCGCACAGGTGTGGGGTTTAGCTGATGCGTCGGGGTCGGGGTTGCCCATCAAGATCGGAGTGAGCGGAAGCTCCGCTTTCTCGTCCCTGCCGTTTTGGTGGGCGAAGCAGACCACAAGTCAACAAACAGAATTGTGTAAGGTGGAAATTAGTGCTTTAAAGAAATTTGGTCAGGGTGGTGGAGCAGAACGAAGTGAGGGAGTAAGACGACTTGTGTAGATCTGCAGTCGAGCCTGCTAAGTGGGAGGAAAGGCCACTGTGGGACAAACTTAGCGAAGTCCAGGAAAAGAGAAAGGGCCACTGCCACTGCTGCGCCCGGAGCGGAAAGGACAGGGGGAGCAGGGAGGGAGATGAGGCCAGGACTTAAGCACCGACTCTGGCGAGGCCCGTGAGCCGAGGTAGGGAGTTTGACTTTTATTTGGAACTCAGAGCAGAAGAATGATACTCTCTTTTTTCTTTATGTTAAAGAGAAGAAAAGTTTTTTAAAAATTAAAAACTATGCACAATTTCAAATAAGATGATAGGAAATCAACAATGGTTATTATCTTGCATATTTTTTATATTTCATATTAGTATCTTAAAAGTAGTTGTTCAGATTACCAGATATAGGCATGCAAAATTTTTCAAAAAAATTAAGCATTAACTGTTCCTTTCAATAAACAAACAGAAATTAGTCGTACAATTATCTTAACTATCGTGTGTGTGTGTGTGTGTGTGTATTTTTTTCCCTTCTTTCTTTCTTTTCTGCTTTCCCTCATCCCAGTTGTTCTTTCCTTTTGAGCAGTTACTTTCCCTTTCACAATATCTATTGTACTTTTCGGATTTTGTTTTCTCTTTCAGTTTCTTACACTAGGGAGAAAATACGATGTTTACACATGTGAGTCGGATTTATTTCACTTACGAGCATGGTCTCTAGTTGCATCCATTTACCTATGAAAGCCTTAAGTTTATCTTTCTTTATAGCTGAGTAATACTCCAATGCATAAAAATACCACATCTGTGTATCCATTCCTCAGTTGATGGGCATGACCTTTATTCTTCCTGCCCTCATCAGAGAGATACACTTCCTCATTTGCCCTTGGGCAGGGGGAATGCAGGGGAGTGGGGGGGGACGGGACCAGACAGTCAGAAAAGTGTTCAAGGCCACCTTATTGTAAAGAGGTGGATAATTAAATCCGAAAGGGAAAGAGGCTCAGGGAAAGAGGCTCGGCTTTTAAGAATTAGGTCTTCCATCTCCCTTTAATGCCTTCAGAATTAACCTTCTTAACGTCGACATATAGTCGACAGTTTCTAAACCCTTTTAGATATTTTCATTTGCTTTCTCTAAATTTAGGCTTAAGTATATGTGGGAGCTTGCTATAAATGCCTACTCCAAAGCAAAAGGAAACATTATATAAGTATAAAATGAATAACTTCCTCTGTTGCAATAGAAAATGGACAGAGTTGAGATTGAAGTATGTAATCTTGGTAAACTACTTAACAGTTCTTTTAATTTTATCTTTAAAATATTGCTGTTCTCAAGCTTTTAGGTCCTAGAATCTCTTTACATTATGAAAGCTTACTGAGAACTTCCGAAGAGTTTTTATGCCGCTTATAGCTACCAATATTTATCATTTTCAACATCAGAACTTTCAAAAAGTTCATTGTAAAATAATACACTCATTAATAAGATGCCATCATTTTTTTTCTCATTTGATCATTACACATTGTTTACCTGTACTGAATTATCACATGGTCCCCATAAATTTTTATAATTATTATATGTTGGTAACATAAATAAGGAATGTTAATATTGACATGTGCTTGAAAAGATGTACTCAAATATTTAACAGTCTCTGTGCAGGTCGTTCAGAACTGTTGACATTAGATACGGGTGAAGTGTTATTGCAGAGCACAAAAAGTAGATATGACAAGTTCCTGTCCCCTAACATTGAAGAATGAATTTTAAGGAACAACGGAGATCTCATTTTAAGAGTAGAAAAAAATTGTGGAGAGACAGAGTGGTCCAAAAGTGGGTTGCCAATGACCCCAGTTCTCTGGGAAAGTTTATAAAGTAAATCAAGAGGTGGGGGAAAATGTAAGTCAAAACTGTGATCAACCAATAAGATTACAAGCTGCCCTCTTAGGTAGTATTGATCCAATAGGGGAGCGAGTCACGTAGCAAGTGTACATGGAAAGAGCAAAGACATTTTTAGGAAGGGATGAGTCTGGAGGCTCTGGTCACCCACCTCAGCGACGAATGTCTATCTAGATTTTAATGGACCAGTTGATACCAGTTATAGTAATCTTTAAGTTATTGCTTATCACTGGGCGTGGCAGCACATACCCGTAAGCCCAGCACTTGGGAGGCTAGGCTGAGGCAGGAGAATTGCTGTGAATTCAAGGCCAGCCTGACCTGCCTAGTGAGACTCTGTCTCAAAAGAAAAAAAGCTATTGCTTATCCCTCAGGGCAGCATGTAGCCCTGATCATTCCACCTCTATCTTGAGGCCTGGCTTTTGACAGATGCCCTCCAGCCACAGTTGTAATATGTCTTCACCTACACTGAGTCCCTCAGTGACCTAGCCCTGTCAGACTGACTTATCATATTTCTACCTATCTTAGCTGTCTATATAATAGTATAACTAATACAAGGCTCAGTATTTTTTTTCTTTTAAATTTTTATTAGCACGTTTGTAGTCCATAATTACATTCATCAGTTGGTATATGTACATAACACGCCTTAATTTTTTTACATCCCCACTCCCTTCCCTCCCAGCTGCATTTTTCCCTACCTTCTTTCCCCTTCTCCTTCTCTTTTTTCCCTATTATCTATTATTTACCTTTTTATTTATATTTTGGATTTCTCATATAAGAGAAACCTTGTGATATTTAAGCTTGTGTGTCATTTATTTCATTTAACCTTCTGGTCTCAAGATGCATCCAGTTTCCTACAAATGACTCAAATTTATCCTTTATGGCAGAGTAGTCCTCCATTGTATATAAATACCTCATTTTCTTTGTCCATTCATCTGTTGATGGACATAATGGCTGCTTCCAAGATTTAGCTATTTTGTATTGTGCTATTTTGTATTTTGTATTGTGCTATTTTGTATTGTGGGTATGCATATATCACTATAATATGTTGTCTAACATTTTGGGGAAGATACCTAGAAGGGGAATAGCTGGGTCCAGTGGAATTTCTATTTTTAGTTTTTTGAGGAATCTCCACACTGATTTCCATAGCGGTTGTACCAGTTTACATTCTTAGCAACAGTCAGGAAGGATTCCTTTTCCCCCACAGCCTCACTGGCTTTTGTTGTTATCTGATTTCTTGATGACAGCCATTCCGTCTATGCCAGCATTTCTTTAAAGAATATTTTCCAGAACAAAAATGTTGAGAATGGCAGTTTTAAATTTTCTACAGATCTCTTTAATGTCTGACTTAGTAGAAAAGAACTAGGTTTTTATTTCTCCTGCATTCTTTTGGAGCGGCACTCAATACGTAGCCTCTGAAAAATTGCAACACATTGTAGGAGAATGAAAGTGAAAAAGGCAAATGTCCTTGTAGGGGGAGGGTTCTTTCTTGGCTTTGGGTTTTTGGTGTGTTTTGTTCTGTTTCATTTTGAGACAGGATCTTGCCATATAGTTCAAGCTGGCCTTGAACTCACTATGTAGCCTAGGCTGGCCTTGAACTCACAGCAGAGATCCTGCCTCAGCCTTCTGAATGCTGGTATTATAGGCATATGCCACCACACCCAGCTAAATGTCCCAGTATTATTATTAAAAATTGCTTTGAAAAAAATCTCAGAGGCACCAAGAAATCCTTGTACCAAACTTTGAGAATTGTTGTATTATTATATTGTTATATAACCATCAAAAGAAATACGAGCTTGATTTGTAAATCAGTAAAACTATATGCACATTAAAAATACAGATGCCCAGACCCTCCTTCTGGAGGTGCCCAGTCAGTAAATCTGCATAGGCCCAAGAAATCTGCACCTTTAGCAAGTACAACAGATGTAAGCACTCTGAGTGCTTACAGTTTGCAGTTTGTGAAAAGCAAAAATGAAATTCTTGCGAGTATTCTGCCCTTACATCAAAACAGCTAGTTCCTTGCTTTCAGATGTCTTTATTAACAGGTTGTGGTCTGAGGCTGTGGAAGGTTAGTAAGAAGTTTGTCCCCGACACCTTTCTGACTACCAAGTTGATGAGTATCTGAACTCAGTGTTGATCATCTGTTAGAGACAGTGGCCCTTTGTCAAGGACTGAAAAGGTTTATAGACTCCCGTTCATAAGCTTGATAAACTCATAAAAGAGGGGCACTGCAGTAAGTCGTATAATAGAGTATTCTCAGTGTGCTAGAGGACTGACAAAGCAGAAGAAACTCATCTAAAAGAAGGCAGCGGGTCTTTTGAGGGCCCACACTCTATTTTCTTTGTGTACTTCACATTCTGCTTAATAAAGCTCTATTCCTCTTACAAAAGGAAGAGGATGGGGAGTTTAGATAAGGGGTCTTCCTGAATAAAGTGAAATTAGTTTGATGTTATAGAGATTAAAATTTCCACAGGATGATAGTGGTAAGGAGATACAAAAGAAACAACGAGAACTTTAAGGTGAAAAATTATTTAGCGAATAAAACATGGATAATCAAGTCTTTGTGCCAGGAAAGGAAAGCTGGGAAGGATTTAAGCAAAGAACAAACTAATGATAATCAGCCCCCGGCTGAGGAAATTAAGACTACTAGAGTACATCAGGGCTGTGCAACCAAAGACCATGCTGCACTTCTGTTTATTTCTTCATTTATTTCTTCAGCAAGCAATTACAGTATATACATGGTTGGACTTATGATTTCTCTTGTGCCACCTGAATCTATTTGTGAGAATTACGGCACCAGAGTAGAATTTTTAGCTTATCTCATGGACAGTGAAAAATCATCAGTAGATTTTAAAATTGTCTTGATTTGCTTGGATTTGTATTTAGAGCCAGTTCTGAGAGGGGCAGTGTTTAGATACATCTAAGGGTAAGATTGAAATTTGAGAGTCCTGTTTACAAATTGAAAATATAGTGTGGTACTAAGGTAAGATGAAAGGACAGTGAGCTAAGGCAGGGACAGTAAGAACTGAAAAATGTATAGTAAGTGACATAATAATAGCAATAGCTTGTGTTTATAATTCATTCATCTTACCCTGAAAACTACCCTATGAAGTGGTCATTAGTGTACTAGTAAGCTTAGTCTACAGATGTGAAAGTTCAGGCTTTTGGAGCCCACACCTTTACCCAGGGATCAGGTAGCTAACTCCAGCACCTATTCTCCTTAGCTGTATAATCCTATGATTTTAGTATTTCAAAACCAGAAGAATTGTGGGCTACTATTCAAGCTATAAATATGCTAGACAAGAAGATCTGAGGATAAGAGTG